GCTGAGCTGTGGTCCACTGTATAAACTGCCGGGTATACTGAAATGGCCTCAAGGTAATAATTACCTCAACGGTGTCACCGTACAGTTCGCATGCAAGCCAGAAACCTACTTCCATGGCACCAGTGAAAGAACGTGTATAAACGGTCTTTGGACTCCGGGCTGGCCCGCATGGTGCAGAGGTATTAAAAGATTAATGTAACATCTAAAGTTATGCTAAATATGATAAGACAGTGCTATCAAAGGCTTGCTGCAAATTTGAAAATTGACGTAGTACCTGACGAAGGGTCATCGGGCAAAATATATTGCTGTATTACCTTTTATATTATTATTTCATAATCATTCAAACGAAGTATCTTGTCAGCAGCCAGATGCTTAGCATAGCCAACAAATTGCGGCCTGCTGCAAATTTGTAATGACCATGATTTTTCTCATGACTCTGGTTGTATGGAATACAGCAGCTAGCTGACACTATCAGTGATACCTCTGTGAGCATCAGGCAGTCCAGACTCACCGCCATTGATGTGGAATGAGGCCATCTGCAGCAATGTTACTGGGTTTGATCACACAGTGTGTAACCGATAAACCTGCTTCAGAGTGATTGTCAAGATTTGGCATTTTCTTATTTTCTCAGCCCAAGTTTTCTGAACGCTTTCGTCAAGTAAAACATCAATAATTTCAGCTGTCCTGTTCTTGCGTATTTCTCTTATTGTTCGATTTTTAAATTGTATTAAACTGATAATTCAAACTATTTGTAATAGATTATATTTCTTTTATTTTTTGTCCCCAATTTGTAGGTAAACTATGACCAACCCCTAAAAAAACTGAATTTCACATTATGCAGCATCGTCCGCAATCCTAGATGCCAATGGGCATTCCATAAGATATTGGCTTTCTAGCATCTTTGCAGGGCAAGATTATTTTTTAACTAAATCAGTACTTTGCTTCTCACCACTAAGGCGTAAAGAATCGCTGCTCGCATTGTGCTTTCGCGCAATAACCAAAATATCAGCGTTCACACGTTGGAGTATCTCAAGGACCGTATCATGCCATCATCTGGGAATGCCTTATTTCGAAGCCAGAGTCAACAACAGCGACGCGACAAACATAGTGTGGCTTCATGCTTCTTTCCCACAGAGTGGTACCAAAGGAAGAAGAAAAGTGAGTTCGACCCTCCATCAACTTAGCAGCCACGATCTGAAATAACGTGGCATAAATTCCTTGCTCAAGGAAATTTGCGATTAGCACAGACTCCGGTATCTACGGAGTTCGAAGCCTACTATTTAGGAACTGTGCCTCTCACCCACCGCCTCGAATCGATTTAAAGAACCGTGCATAAGCGTAAGGCAGTTCTTAAGTGTTTGGCGCTATGGAAAACAATAAGTGAACATAAACTGGTTGCTGAGATCTGGTAGATTTATCTGAATCATGTTCTCCATGTGTAAATTGGTACGATTTATAAGCGAAACGTTTTTTTACAATAAATATGAATATTGGATTAAAACTAAACGACTTTTGGTGCTTATGAAATTTTTTAATCAATGTTAAACATTTAATGTTGGTATTAAAAACGAATCATTTTGTTCTTTTCTCATATTGTTACTTACTCATGCCACAAGCCAGGCATTCACTATGATCAGTTCTTTCACGTAGATGAACAAGAAGAGAATGCGTTGAAGATATTTGTAGCTATCATGACATCAGTTGGTATATTTCTTGGCATTGCAATGATATTCTATTTGTGTTATCGTTCGAATGTTAAGCCAAGACATAGTCTCATTTACAGCAGCATAACACAGAAGAACCACTGGGCAGTAACAGGGTTTAAGAGGTACGTTTGGCTGCAATTTCATGTCACAACAATTTCCACGAATATGTTCAGAATTGTAGATCCACTGCCATTAAAGAACGCAGTCAAACCAATGTTGCACTGCTTTCCCTGGCCGTGCACACGGAATGACGTCCAACCCGCAGAAGAACACAGAAATGATGATTCGAGTTAGTGCTTTAAACCTATTGATGTTACTGCATAGTCGAATACAAGTTTTTACAGTGAATTTTCAGGTAGTGGCTTAACGACTTTGAATGCGGAAAATGTCAGTATTACAACTGTTACTGGCGGCACGTAAAAGAGAAAATTGCTAATGAATCGTTCTTTATAGGAAAGTCAGTGGATCAGTTAATTCCATCCAGAACCAATGAAATTTTCTGTAATGAGTCAATCAACACTGCAATAAACCACTTATGAAGAAAATTTTAGAGTTCCTAGTTCACTCAAAGCGTAAATCGCTAGTCAATGGATGACCCTGACGAACGAAGAAAAAAATTCACATGATCAAAGACAGTAAGAACTTAATGGATCATTGATCAAAGATAAAGTTAAAAAAATTTTACGTCACGAAAACCTCACAGGATGCTCTGCCAATGGCAGTAAATATCAGAAGTTAATCAGGTAACACGTTTGCTATACTTCTTTTCAACGCTCCTCACACGACGACAAAACACCAGTGATACAAACATGTCGAGTCATGTACCAAAACAACCTCTTCGGTTGATGAAAGCGACGTGAATAGAAATCGACAGTAAACGGATAAATGTTTTCCGTGATATATTGTAAAAGAAACATCCAAGATATGGTTGGGCATCACTTTACATACTCTGACTACGAACATATCTAGATGATTATGTGATAAGAGATAAGTACCACCTGCTCGTACAACACCGTTCATGATGAGCTCGAGATGACTCCAGCAGACAAAATGATGCGAAATGCGTCTGGCACTGCAGATGCTCAAATACCAAGGAGCCGCATGGCCTATTTAATTGCTCACCCCTCATGAAGAAACTAGTAGCAAGTGGGGAGTAGGGGCATGTAGAACATCTAAATATGATTTTGGACGAGCTCTGCGTTATTTGACAAACTTGGACCTACGAGCATATTTTTGATCACCACTTCTCATAGTACGACAGTGATAATGACGCCAACGAAAATCTATACGAATAATAATTTATTGTAAAAACGTCGCGATAACAGCTTCACTCATTCACGTGAAATCATTAAACTTGATGTAACGTACTCTTCGGCCATTCATTAGTAGGTACGTCTACTAAAAGCGCCGCTATCATGCAAAGGTTATCTTTGTGCATCTTTCAGTATTACAGCTTCGACATATCACATATGGTGGCAGACACTGGTCACGCGGGAATCACGAACGAATCCTAGGAAACCGGCTGAAAATACGCCAAGCTATTACCATTTGCACAACAACTGCGTACTCGACAACTAAACATTATCGCAACTGATATGTAGGTGCATGAAAGCGTCTTCCTGCCAGAAACATTCTCCACGACGTTCCGTTGGTCACAATTCAGATATTTCTTCCAGTTTGACTACCCGAACCGTGGTCGTCGACTGATAAAAATCAGTACAAAACACAGTGCATATATGTGTCCATGGAAAGTCACCGGCTGAAAAATCTAATCTGACAGTTTCCTCCTTCGTCAAGCGGAT